TGTATCTAAAAACACCTCTTTTCTCTTCACCACCTCCTCCTCCTCTTCTCTTGCCAACCCTTTCACCTCCATCTCCTCTGCACTCCTGACCCAAAAGTGAACTCAGTGGAGAGCTGGAGGTCAAACAAGACATAACTGTCCCAGTGACCAACATTCACCTCCCATAATTTAGCAAAGCCTTGCAGCCAAAGCTAGAGAATTGCATATGCCTCAAAACCTCCCCACCTCCATCCATACAGGCCATAATTACTGAGTCTAGCTAATCTAACAGGAAGCCATACGTTATCTGAATCATCCAGCATCTTTCATCATCTGCTAACGTACACACGCATACACCGGCCTCATACATCTGCCAGCATCGAACCCGAATGCACACTCTCGCACATGCGCATACACACTAAACAGCTATCTTTCATCAGTGTTTGTGTATATCTGAGATCTGTATCGGTTCCCCCTGATCTCCAGTCATCACTGTGGCTCCTTAATTACACCCTTCATTAACTCACATGAGCTGTGTGCATGTGTGCAACTGCCTGCCTGTGTGTGTGTGTGTGTGTGTGTGTGTGAGGGGAGGCAGGGAAACAAAGATTGCTAGTATGTGTGTGGACACATGAGAGAGCAAAAACGAGGGAAGCACTGAGGAAAAAATAGAACATGACAAATGGGAGTGGGGATCGAAGCTCCAAACCAATTTCTAAAACTGCCTTTTTCTCAACCAATGTTCCTTTTAAACCCTTGGGGACGGGAGACCACTGCCCCAGTCTGTCTCTCACTTTCTATTTGCTTGTAAGAGTGAGTTAAGGCAAAGAGAGAGCGAGAGAGGAAAGACAGTGAGAAAGAGGGGGAAAACTCCTCTCTGGCTGGTTTAGCCGGCCGATGAGTGGCACTCCCGAGAGGAAACGGCACCTTTATGCCACCATCTCGCTCTCTTTCCCCTCTCCCTCCTACTTTCCTCTCTCCTCTTCCCATCATCACCAGCAGCTGCTGCTACTACGACTACTACTACTACTGTAGCTGCTGGATCACAAGAAGCGATTAATTGATGGTGAAGAAAAAGGAGGAGACAGAAATTGGTGAGAACAGATGAGAAGAGGGGGAGTGGCAGTGCTTATAGTGTGGATTCACATCTGTAAAAAAAAAAAAAAAGAAAAAAGAAAAGGAGGGGGGTGGTAGGAGAGACTTTAAGAAAAGGAGAGAATTGAAGACACCTGGTTCTCGTCAGAGCACCCTCCGCCCAGCCACACATACACACACACTTTGAGGTTTGTTAGGATTTATCCTGCTTACATTTCTCTTCTGCTATGCATCATTTCATGTCCACACCCGGCACCTCAACAAAGTGCCATACACTCTCCGCTGCACTCTCACTTTTCCACCTCTCCTTCCTCTCTCACTCCGTAACTCCGCTCATTGTTTTCCCTCCCCTCCCCTCTTCTCATCTCTCCCTTCGATGATGGGGCAAAACTGGTCTTCGCCCCCTCTTCACTTTCTTCCCTCTCTTCCCTCTTTCCTGCTCTGTTCTTTCTGGGGAGGCAGACAGGCCACATTCCACAGGGAGGCCCAGGCGCCCTTTTCTGACACGTCTCAGCATTACACCCCTCCCTCATCCCTCCATTTCTTCTTTCCAACCCACAAATGCCCTCCTCCCCTACCCCACCCCTCTTTGCCCGTCCGTTTACCTCCATTCCCTTCGAATGGTTGTCCCATCTCCCCAGATCCCTCATTTTACCACTGACTATCTATCTATCTATCTATCTATCTATCTATCTATCTATCTATCTATCTATCTCATAGAAACAAAAAAGGTACCAGAGAAAAGATGGAGAAAGAGAGAGAGCAAGAGAGAGAGAGAGAGACAGAGAGCGAGAGAGAGAGAGAGAGAGAGAGAGAGAGGGACACAGAAGACAGCGAGAGGCCGGTTTAGGGGTTTGATGGTTGGAGATGACTGTGATTTCTCTCAGGTTCCCAAGGGGCCCAAGGAAAAGACGGCTTTGTGTTCTGACAACACCGCGCTGTCAGGAGTTCTGTGTGTGTGAGTGTGTCGGTGTGTCTTTTCTGCTCCACTGCGCACTGGCATGGTGTTTAAGCACAAACACTGGTCTGCACTACACCTTCAGGTGAGAGACTCAAGCATGGAGGAGAAAAGCACAAGAGGATGAGGAGGAGGAGGAGGAGGAGGTATATCCAAGACATTCAGGTGGTGGCACAAGCTAAAAATACAGCCTTTTATGGCCACCCAATAATACTGCACTGAAGCCATTTAAGCAAGAAGTGTGATGGAATAAGGTTTAAAAATGACAAGAGCTATACACAGAGAGGAAGATATTTTCTCTAAAACGACTCGTTTTAAAATGAAGAAATCTAAGAAAACAGGGCAAATTCAAATGAAGATTTAGACCTTTGTAATAGTCGGTGTGATAAACAAGAACTGTTAGCTATTAGTAGGGAAGTTGTAATCATAAAAAAGAAACATCTGTTGCATGCTCTGTTTTAATCATAAAAACTGCTCTGCATGACACTTAACGCAAACTGAAAAAAAAAAAAAACACCTGAACTCCTCTAAAACAGTTTACCTTTTCAAGTGCTTACATTTTAAATACATATAGATCGATTGCTGGTCTTTTTAATGATAATAATGGAAAAGAAAAAAGAAATTAGCAAGATGGAGAAAAGAAAGAAAGAAAAAAAATCAGCTGGTTGTGGTGTCTGAGCAACCAAATAACAGCGCTTCGATCTTATCCAGGCAGCGAGGGAGAGAGTTGGGGGGAACAGAGAGGTGAATGAGGCTGGTAACACTGAGCAGGGCTGACAGGGAGACGCACGCATTTAAGTGTTTGTGTGCGTCTTGTGGGAATGAAATGATATGGTGCAGATGATTCTTATACTTAATACCATTATAAGTACACTTAAAGTCCTATACACTGAGCGTCATCTGTGTTAAGACGCGTGTGTATTTGCAGAGGAAATATATACAGAAAATGTCAAGAATCAGTAACTGTGAACAAAAAAAAAAGGATAAAAATGCGAAAAAGGTACACGTGTGCCACCATTTCAATTTGCAGTAATATATCCGCAAATCATGTGGCAACGAGTCCAATGGTTCAAGTGAAATAATATCAGGAAGAACGAACGTAGAACTCAGTCTACGCAAACTGAACTGAACAAAAAGCTCTTAATGAAAAACTGACGCACACACACACACACACACAAATTAGTGTGGATTTACAGCCACATATGTGGATGTATCATTTTTTGTGAGGTCAGTGTTGGGATCTGGAGGAAAGGTTGTGCTTGTCTTTCATGGTCCACAGCGGACAGGAGGAAAAAAGAAGTACAGTGAGAGAGAGGAAGAGAAAAAGATGGAAAGAGAGAGGGAGCTATGTTTGTGGTTGGTAACCCGCTCAAGAGAGGAAATACCAGGGTGCGCACACACACACACGCATACACGCATACCTATATACACACACACAGGTGCAAAAACATAGAGAGCATGGACACGTCCGAGAGAATAAAGACCTGCTTTGTAAGGAGCCACAGGTTTGATGTTTAAGTGTGTGCATTTGTGCATGGCTGTGTGTGTGTGTGTGCGTGTGTGTGTATGTGTGTGTTCTCGGCTGAAGGTTGCTGAGGAAGCAGGGTGAGGATGCAGTCAGGGGAAGGAGGAGGGAGGGCACGACAGGAGTGAAGGGCTTCGAGTGTTCTTCATTCACCTAAGGCTCCATCATTATAATTAGGGGGGAATAATTTTAGCAGCAGGGAGGAAACCCTGATTTTTTCCCCCTGGGTTTCCTCAACTAGAAACTCAGCTGGTGTCGGAGTGCCCAGAACTCACACTGACCCTCTGTGATGGGCGGACACACAAAACGAGGGAGAGTGAAAGTGTTATAAATATTTCCTATATGAGTAAACATGCTTCAAAAAAGAATACAAGAAGAAAAAAAAAAGGGAAAGTCTGTTATCTCACTTAATCTCTGCATCCGCAGCAGCAAATGCCACATCAGTGACTGAGAAACATGAATCAGCGAGTTTCCATCATTAGATGGCAACACTCAGTGAACATTTTTGTGTGGTTATGGACAAATGACTAATGTAGAAACATCTGGATGAAAAACAAATTGAAATACTCTGTGTGTACTGTAAGTCCTTCAGAGAGTAATCAGTAGACAGTTATATGAATTTTGGGGGGAATGAGAAATAAAATGCACAATTTGTTCCAAGAAGTTCCGGGAAAAGTTTGGAAATTCCATTTTACATAGTGGCCAGTGAGTGTGTGTCTGTGTGTGCGTGTGTACTGCATATGTGTGTAGAGAGCTGGGGGAGGGACTGACGCACAGGAGATAAATAGCATAACTGCAGACACTACTGACGTGTCAAACACACACAAACACCACTTCATGGATCAGTGAAAAAATAAAACAGAAAGACTTCACTCCCCCACACACACTCGTTAAGCATCCAGGTCCTATATAGAGTGTGTACATGCCATTTTAAGAAGGTGTAACTGGTTTATTTCACCTAGACAGCGCCTATATATGGCAGGTAGTTCTTCCTGTTATTTATTTTATTTTTTTAAGCCAGGATCATGTAATAATATATCAGTGGGAACCTCACGTGTATGAATTATTATGGTGAACTGTGTCCCAGTGGAATTAGTTGGCACATTATGAAAAGTGGATAATTAAAGCACTGACGAGCCAACCTGTCAGAGCATTTCACTGCTTCAACATGCAAAGCTGACAATTACCAGAGTCTGGCCAACCAAGTGTTGTCACATCTGTACATTATGTAATGGCCCGGTGTGTACATGCTGTTCTAGACAACGTCTCGTACATATCATGAGTTGCACAAGTGGGAGGTGTTGCAAAACAAGTCTCATGAGAGCATATACACAGGTAGATGTGTAAACATAATGTCAAGTGCATGCATGGCATGCGCACAGAGGCACACAAAGTATCAAAAACATGCACATATGTGCCACAGATGCACACACAAACACACACCTGTTGCTGTTGCAGGTGCAGTAAGTCAACTGGGCTGATCTCTCCATTGGTGTCTCCATTGGACCCACCCTCTCTACCTCCCCCTCCATCTGATTGGCTGCTGAGGCTGCTGACTCCGTTCTGGTTGGACGGCGTCGTTCGAATGGTCTCAGAAGCTGATTCCACCATCATCACTGGCACCTGACGGGGGGAGAAGCAGAAACACATACTGAACAAAAGTGACCTGGGCAGTTTGAGCAGAAAGCCTGCTCCCATCTGATTGAACAAACAAGGTAGCAAACTAAAGTAAACAAACGGAGAGATAGAGGATTGAATAGTGTGTTTACGTGCGCATGTGTGCACGTTTACTTTGTGAAAAGGGCTTTTGGTCATGAACCACCCGTACACAAACATGCCCGAGAGGCTACAAAGCAACACCTAAAGCAGACACTTTTTTGTCTTCATGTAGATGTGCGTCTGGGAGCGTACACATGGATTAGGATCAGATGTGCAGCAAATCTAAACTGACAAGGCTGTTAATACTCCGCTATATAGTTAAATAACACACACATTTCTCCAATAATCAGAGGTGGCATGTGTGCGCTGTGTGTGAGCCATGAGCAGGTTGGTCTTTGAGAAAGATCTGTTTGATGCACCTTCAGAGGGCCTCTCTAATTAGAGCGTGTTCCTTCCACAAAACCCGACAAAACGAGCCGTTCCTGGATGTGTTGTTGTTTTTGAGAAACAACCCCTCGCAAACACACAGGCGCATTTGCCATCGTTAGGAGCCCGAGCGTGGGAGAGAGGAGACACAGAGACACACACATCGGCGCGCAGAACACACACAAGGCGGCTAATACAAAACAAAACAAACCTTCACACAAGCACGCAGGCTGTGAACTCCTAATGACAAGCTCAATCTCGTCTTTCTGCCTCATCCAGTTTTAGAAATTAACACACACAAGCGCATAGTTTTAAAGGGGAAAGTTCTACTGCTTTTATTTCAGCAACCCGGAGTGGGTACACAAAACGCCATCGAGGCATTTCTACCTGCCGTCTGGTGTGCGACTGTGTGCATGCGTGTGTGTGTGTTTTCAGAGGCGTACAACTCATGCCTTCTGGGAAACAATAAAAGCCATTTCATGAGAGAATCTAACTTTTCTTTTTCCTCTGAGGCAAGAGTGTGTGAACCTGTGCGTGTGTGTGTGTGCCTGTGTGTATGTGTGTGTGCACCTTTTTTTTCCCTCTCTCTCTCTCTCTGAGACTCTGACAGCAGGTGAGGGTGTGAGAGATCGCTGGTAGCTTTGTTAATGGAATGCTGCCAGATGCTTGCAGAGGGACAGGGACCTGAGCATGCTAGTGTGTGTGTGTGTGTGTGTGTGTGTGTGTGTGTGCAGATGGATGGGATGGTAGGAGCGCCTGTTAAAAGCTCAGTTCACTCAAAAAATATATATTTTCTCACTAAAGTGGCGTCCGGTCATGGAGGCAGTTTTGGTTTTACTTTCCAAGGTGTTGCAATACCTGGTACTACATGTTCTGCCAGTGTGACAGGGCCATTCACTGTTTATGGGCTAACATTAGAAGTTTTGAAGGCAAGTGGGCATCTGTGTGGTGACACTGGTTTAAAAAGTGCCGCGTGCTTTCAGACAGATTCCACCAGTTCTGCCTAACAAGCAGCGCCATTTGAAAAAACACAAATCACGCTGCAGCATTTTTCCTCCCCATTGACTCTCCCCTTGTCTCCCTCCTGGCACCCATCTGCCTGTGAAGTTAAGAGTGAGAAATAGAGCGTTATTGTGACATTTAAAGCTAGTCACTTAATCTCCAACCTCACTCCTCTTCTCGGCTCTCTCTCTCTCTCTCTCCCTTCTTTATTCTCCCTCCTCCCACCTTCGTCCAGACCCCTGCTAGGTCAAACTACTCCCTGAGGTAATATTATGAAGCAAGCCATAGTGCTGAGTGATCAACAGATCTCGCTGCACAGTCCACTGACTTTGCACCGCAGTAGAAACTCCTCACATCATCACACATTTCACTAAGCATGAATCACTGGCCTGCTATCGAGCCCGCACTATACTGTAATGTACTGTACGCCCATCTGCTTCTTACTCTTTCTCATTGACCTTATTAGCAATGAGGGGAAGAGAGATAAAGACAGACAGAGAGATAGAGCTTGCAGGTGGACAAGGACCTAATGGGAAAGTGGGGAGTGTGTAAAGACATGAGCGCATGCCCTCTCTCTCACACACACAGGCGGTGTGGTGGTATGCTCGTCTAAAGGGTGTGTACTCTGTCATATCCTGTAATGGGTGTATATAAGCTGGTGTAATGGAGGTCGGGAAAAAGGCAGGGGCATAAATCTACCCTGAAGTCTCTGATTAGGGTTATGATACACACACACACACATGCACACATGCACACACACGCTGCTTTAAGTTTAAGTGTTTCTGGCAGTGAAGAGGAGCAGCCCGTGCAGAGGCCTGCCTCAACCCGCTACTCGCTCTTTTCTGTGTGTCTCTTTCTCGCTCCCTCAATCTCTATACATGCTCAGACCCTCTCTGGCTGAACCCCTGACCTGAGAGTGTGTGGGGAGAGACATTCCCACTACCCCGAGGGGACCGAGCGAGGGAGGGAGGAGCGCAGATCAGAGAGATAAAGAATGTGTTTGGAAGAGAGGGAAATAAAAGGCCTCCTTTGCCTTTTAATTGGGATGGAGAAGAGAAGAAGGGAAATAGGACTCGACATGTTTCTGATGACTCTGGTGTATATGTGTGTGTGTGTGTGTTTGTCTAAGAGGCTGACACCTACCTTTGTACTGTAATGGATTAGCTCACTGCAAATGCTGGGTGCATGTGTTTATGTGTGTGTCTGCTGTGATTGATGAGTGAAGAGGAGTTGGGATGAGTCCTGTTCCAACACGCAGCTCGTTCAGATGTTCCCGAAAATTTAGCACTAATAATAATCACAACTCCGCTCTCCCTGTACCTTCCCGCTGCTCTGGCTGTGTGCGGAGTTCAAACAAGCCAAGCCAAATGCCCAGTGAGCTGGCTCGCTGCGGCTGACTCTCGGGCTTTTGTCCGGGGGATTGGCTCTGTCAGATTCCTCCTGGTCACTACTCGTCAGAAAAAGCCACGGCCGGGTTCGCTTTCTGCTAAATCTTTCTGTGTATGCGTGTTTGTGCAGAGAGTTGTGTACAGCGTGTATTTATGTGTGCATCTGTGTTTACAGCAGCTTAGTGAGATAATAAGTCTTTATCATGTTATGCCTCATGTGGGAATATTTCCGGCAGTCCCAGAACGCCTGTTCTGTTTCCTCCGCCTTGCATCAGCTCACAGGAACGCTGCTTATTAGGCAAAGAACTAAGGGAATAAGGGTGGGAGGGAGAGTGAGTGGAGGAGGGAGGGGGTAAGGGAAAAAATGTCTGTACCAGTATCTACACTCCATCATCTATCTGCTTTCATCTGACTCTTGAATTATCTCTCCTGCTCTCTGCATGCTGTCTTTCTCCCTCTGGTTATGCCTGGTAACTAGTGGCAGGTTCAACCCTGGAAAACATTAAAGTTTTCACCCTGAAATAGAATCCACATAGGTTATTTCTATGATCTCTGATAGTTCAATCAATATTTGTGAGCAAGAGAAACACTCTTCCGGAGACAGAATATCTGAGGAACAGGAGCTCGAACCTATTTTGTAATCAGGAAACAGAATTTGGAGGAGCCTCTGCTGACACTGAATGGCTCTGTGGAGTCGTACAATATTTGGTTAACTGTTACACCCAAAGGGGCTTTATTTCATTATAATTGACAGTCATGAACTAAAAACAATCATTGTGGTTGCTGTCATTGCGTCCACAAAATGTCCTATTTACTGTCAGTGGAGCAGCTCGGGATTTGTCGCTTAAAAGCTTCACAAAGACTCTTAGCTCTTCTATATATCTCTGCTTTGACAGGGACATGAGCACTGACATACAAAGACAGATCATGATTTAGTAAACACTTACACACCCATATTCTCACACTCTCGCTCCGCAAGCTGGCAAAGAGTCCTCCAATAAATAAACTGTGACACAAGCCCTGAGGGAATATGATTTAACCCCAAACCCCAGAACAAACCCAACTACCAGATCTGGGTTCTTATGTCTCCATTAGTTCTTTCTTTGGAGAAACGCGACCAGAAACATCGAGCAAAGAAAAAAAGGACTCGTACAGTCGAGTATTTTCTGGTGTCATGTGTACAAAGGGAAAAAAACAATAGGTAACTATGGGTTGGGTTATTAATATTCCATTAATGATATTGCAGGAGTGGCTAATGGAGAGAACAGGGTGTTTTCAGAGAAGTTCAGCTACTGGAGCACCTTCCTCTTTACCTTTCCATGCAAGCAGATAATTAACTATTTAACTAATGAGGAGATCTTGTGCGTGTCAAGGCATGTGAGAAGAGCTGTTAAGAACAGCATCACTCTAAATAAATAAACTGAATTACTGTCAGAAAGTTCATGCATTTTGCAGCATTTTGTAGCACAGTGCTGCAACACCATGATTCAGCCACGCACTATTTTTGTCTTTCTAGTTTTTCTTATTGGCATTTTTTTTTTAAACTAAATCTCTCTTAATATTGAAGACATACATTTGTCAATGAATTAAGATATTTTCAGTTTACCCTCAATACATTTAACATTTTAGATCTTTTTGTGTGAAATAAATAGCCATGACATAAAAATGGCGTTATCCAGTCTTGAAAAGAATAAATATTTATATAAATAATAGACAATATCGACATAGCTGAACTGAATTTCTTTACATTTCAGTCACCTTCAACAATCCTGTCTAGTATCGTGCCTTTAGAGGACTGACAGAGGGGAGAAGGAAAGGAAGAAGGATAGGAGGGATATCTGCGTGGCATTTCTGAGCTGACGTGTATTCGCTTCAATAAAAGAGAATGAGGTCAGAGGAAAGCCGAAGAAATAAGACGCAAACACTCTCACACAAGTGCACGCACACACAAAAACATTCTGCACAAATTCTTTTTCCATCATTTCCCGGTCCAAGTTTGGTTGTTTCCTCTGCAGCTGGCTGTTGCTACGTGCTAGTCAGATTTGCGGCAGGATTACACTCCAGAGCAGCCAGGTAGACTTCCACACAGAGCTAAAGCTATAGCAGCTAACAGCACCGCTCCAGGCTACTTTGGCTGCCGGCCAGGGC